ATTAGGGGGAAGTTGTGACTCATTGAAATTTCTATTTCTTGCCGAGAAGGGGTCAATGGAATATTGACAAGCGCCAGTTGTTGCTTTTTTTACCGTCATTTGGTCTCTCAGTAATGGAATTTGACCACGTGAACCAAACAGTACCAATAAGACTCTCTCACAAATAGGTTGTTGAGAATTATGAAGTGCAATATATAAACAAACACTTCCCCCTCCCTTCCTATAAATTTTTTTGGGTTGTCTCCCATATGCTCATGCTAAATCTCTTTCTTTGGTTTAGTCATTGCCATAATTATATCGCTAACTAACATTTCTGCACCAGTGTTTTGCCTATGGTAATTTGCTAGCAATTAAACTATAACATATTTACTTACTTTGCAGTAACTCTTGAACCTCAAAGTCTTCAAGGTTTCCTAACAACTTTTGCACATAGTTTTCCCTGATACGGTACAAGTGCAGGACTTCCAATATACTGAGCACCATAAAGAAGGCATCGACAGAGATAACAGCTATGTTTAGGTTTGATTTCTCCTCGTGATGACGATCATTACATTGCAGTTTTAATTTTGTCTGGTTGAGTGGACTTGGCGTGGTTTGACTGTTGGTCTGCAAGGTCTCATTAACACCACACTTAAAAACCGAAGGTAAAAAAATTGTCTGGTAACTGCAGACCAGCCCTAACATAACACCCAGGAAAAATATTCGAAAGAATACATGGATGAAGTAGGCGCGAAGAAATTTCTTTGTATTTTTTTCCTTGCATCCTGGTCTTTTTCGAAGGGTCACAACACCATAAATTGCAAAGCCGATCCAGCATGCACACAAAGCACTGAAGGTTATGGCAACAACGTTCCGAGGTATTAACCCATGAGGCTTGGTAACTGTGGAAATGTAGTTGTCATAGCAAAGTTGTCTGATAAAATCACTGGGTTTGGGATCACAGTTGAAGTCAAATCTCTCATTGGCATGATAGCTTTGTAGAATGCCAAAAATGATCAGATGCGATGCAGGAAACAAAATACTCTGAAACCCTCCAAGAGGAGTTTGTAACTTGAGAACTAGTTTAAAGCTATCATCCATATTTCCATAGGTATCAGTACCTAACAAGAAGCATGAGAAAGTAATTATTAATATTAATGCACCAACAGACTTGACGACTTGCATAAATTATACCTGACTGCCAGGTCTCCCCGACCTACCATAGGAAGAGACATTTAAAACTTATCTGAAATTTCTGTGAATATCTTAGCATTCAAAGACAATTATC